CCCCATATTGTAAACCTTGACCCATATGCGTCAGGCTTATTGGTAACTTTTACATGTCAGTATCATGACTATCATCAACCATCATACGTGGGGACGGCAATAACTTTCACAGCAAAATAATTTTCAGTCAAAATCGTTGTAAGTAAATTAGGGTATTTTGAGCTGAAGTGGACCTTGACTTGCTTTAGAGGTTGTCCTGACCTTTATCGCGAAAGAAACTCAGAAATGATTCACTGGGTCAACCTATTATGAAAAAGCGCTCTCACACATGTTCTAGCCTATTAGTTAAAAAGTTTGTATTTGGCCATGTTAATTATGCAATTAGCTATTACCGTGCGTTGCCCCAAGTTGGGTTGTGCCAACACAGGCTCAATCTTCCAGGACAGGGATATGGAATAACATTTCATAAAAACCCTGAACTTTAAAAATTTCTTGCCCGTGCACTATTGAAAGGATACGGCCCGCACTTGACTCACCCTATACACCACTCATTGTTACACCCCCTATACACCACTCACTGTTACACCCTATACACCACTCATTGTTACACCCCCTATACACCACTCATTGTTACACCCCCTATACACCACTCATTGTTACACCCTATACACCACTAACTGTTACTCACTATACAATATTCACTGCCATTCTCTACTCATTGTCTCTTCTAAACATAGTATCTCATTCACCATCACTGCCTCATGGCACCTCTTTATTACTCCTGCCACTAGCTCCATCCACCATACATCGACACCTCACTCACCCTGCTACAGTCCCAGTCAGTCTTCGGTTCCTTGCCTGGTTCAGGCTTCACGTTGCTGTAGTGAAGGTAGCACATGTTCTGGCCCATGAACATGTGACGCCCCTGCAAGAAGGCACAGCGGAAGTAAACGTTAGGGAAACTCTAGCAATTGTGCGTCGACTTTCAACCAATTCTGGTTCGGCGACCAGGAAACCGAGCCGTGGACAAACACACTGCTCTACAGGCATCCGTGGCATCTCTACTTCGCAATGCCAAAGAGCTGAAAGAGATGTTTATTGTTTGCTGTTTTGTCTAGGAATTCCCTTTTAACCAACACGACACGAAGTGAAGTCAGAAGTCTGAAAGCAAGCGTAGTTACCACCGCACACATCTGTCACCTCTAGCACAGGGTGTTAAGCCTTCTAACACGTCCAACTGGCCTGGAAGCACGTCTCTCTCTCATTCCTGCACACCATTGCCCACACATCGTCCTCCTCCCATACTTCCATAATTATCTAGTTTTTGCCCGACTTCTTCCCCTTTCAGCATCAGATACAGATGACATGAGAACCTTTACTCTAGGCACTGTTCACAACTGTCAACACCCCCTCCCTCCTGTTATTCGTAACATCCAACTGTCAACACACCCTCCCTCCTGTCTTCACTAAATCAACTGCCAACCAGCCTCCCTCCTGCTTCTTCGTAACATCCAACTGTACAACACACCTCCCTCCTGTTCTTCGTAACATTAACTGTCAACACCCCCTCCCTCTGTTCTACGTAACATCCAAACTGTCAACACTCCCTCCCTCCTGTTTTTCGTAACATCTAACTTGTCAACACCGCCCTCCCTCCTGTTCTTCGTAACATCCAACTGTCAACACCCCCTCCCCTCCTGATTCTTCGTAACATCTACTGTCAACCCCCTCCCTCCTGTTCTACGTAACATCCAACTGTCAAACACCTCCTCCCTCCTGTTCTTCGTAACATCTAACTGTCAACACCCCTCTCCTCCTGTTCTTCATAACATCCAACTGTCAACACCTCCTCCCTCCTGTTTTCGTAACATCATAACTGTCAACACCCCTCCCTCCTGGTTCTTCATAACATCCAACTGTCACACCCCCTGTCTCCTTGCCTCGTTGCTTTCATAAATCCACTGTCAACACACCCCTCCCTCGTGTCTCTCGTAACATTTAACTGTCAACACCCCCTCCCTCCTGGTTCTACGTAACACTTCCAACTGTCAAACCTCCTCACCTCCTGTTCTTGTAACAATCTACTGTCAACACCCCCTCCTCCTGTTCTTCGTAACATCCAACTGTAAAACCCCCTCCCTCCTGTTCTTCGTAACATCTAACTGTCAACACCCCCTCCCTCCTGTTCTACGTAACATCCAACTGTCACACCTCCTCCCTCATTGTTCTTCGTAAGCATCTAACTGTCAACACCCCGCCTCGCTGTTCTTCCATAACATCCAACTGTCAACACCTCCTCCCTCCTGTTCTTCGTAACATCTAACTGGTCAACACCCCCTCCCTCGCTGTTCTTCATAACATCCAACGTCAACACCCCCTTCCCTCCTTTTCTTCAATACAATCCAAACTGTCACACACCCTTCCTCTGTTCTCGTAACATCCAACTGTCAACACCCCTCCCTCCTGTTCTTCATAACATCTAACTGTCAACACCCCTCCCTCCTGTTTCTTCATAACATCCAACTGTCAACACCTCCTCCCTCCTGTTCTTCGTAACATCCACACTGTCAACACCTCCTCCTCCTGTTCTTCATAACATCTCAACTGTCAAACACCCCCTCATTCCTGTTCTTTAAACATCCAACTGTCACCACCCCCTCCCTTCTGTTCTTCGCAACATCCAACTGTCAACACCCCCTCCCTCCTGTTCTTCATAACATCAACTGTCAACACCCCCTCCTCCTGGTCTTTCGTAACATCCAACTGTCACACCCCCTCCCTCGCTGTTCTTCGTAACATCCAACTGGTCAAACACACCCCCCTCCCTCCTGTTATTCGTAACATCCAACTGTCAACACACCCTCCCTCCTGCTTCTTCTGTAACATCCAACTGTCACACACCCCTCTCCTCCTGTTTCTAAGTAACATCCAACTGTCAACACCCCCTCCCTCCTGTTCTTCGTAATCCAACTTCAACACCCCCTCCCTCCTGTTCTTCGTAACAACCAAACTGTCAACACCCCCTCCCTCCTGTTCTTCGTCAACATCCAACTGTCAACACCCCCTCCCTCCTGTTCTACGTTAACATCCAACTGTCAAACACCCCTCCTCTGCTTCTTCGTAACATCCAACTGTCAACACACCCTCCCTCCTGTATTCATAACATTCAACTGGTGAACACCCCCTCCTCCTGTTCTTCGTAACATCCAACTGTCAACACACCCTCCCTCCTGTTCTTCATAAAATCCAACTGTCAACACACCCTCCCTCCTGCGTCTTTCGTAACATCCAACTGTCAACACCCTCCCTCCTGTTCTACGTAACATCCAACTGTCAAGACACCTCTCTCCTGCTTCTTCGTAACATCCAACTGTCACACACCCTCCCTCCTGTTTCTACGTAACATCCAACTGTCAACACCCCCTCCCTCCTGTTCTTCGTAACATCCAAATGTCAACACATCCTCCCTCCTGGTTCTTTGTAACATCCAACTGCCAACACACCTCTCCTGTTTTCGTAACATCCAAACCGTCAACACACCCTCCCCTCCTGTTCTTCCGTAACATCCAACTGTCAACACCCCTCCCTCCTGTTCTACGTAACATCCAACTGTCAACACCCCCTCCCTCCTGTTCTTCGTAACATCCAACTGTCAACACACCCTCCCTCTCGTTTGTTACCACATGCACCGTACATGACCGACACATTCTATCTCAGCTGCACCAACTCTCACGATCTCTTCCTCTCACTGTTGCCTACGCCTGTGACAATGCCCCGCCTCCATCATCACTGCTCACAACAATCACAAGCACCTCCTCTCTCGTCAGCACCATGCCCCCTCTCTCTCTGGCTCTCTTCAACCTTGCCGACATCAGTAGCACCCTCACGCCGTAAGTAGAATTACGGCACGATTAACGCAGCCTCCAGGCATTTCACGGTAGACATCTGACACAATGGATGTAGATGACCTTAATTAGTTACATACACGTGGAACTCCGACACAAACGTGACCCAGGAAACCTGTAACATAATATCTCACTAGCAATACATGCATTCACGCACGCACGCACGCATACGAACGCACGCACATGCACGCAAACTCGCACACACACACACAATTCAGCTACAAGACCGTGTCAAGTTGTCAACTAAAACAGAGACTGCCCACCGAGTTTTCTGCTCAGCGATGATCGTGCTCAATTGAACTTCCCCGCTTTCTCCACAGTGACATCATCGCACAACAGAAAAATCGGCTGCAGTGCCAGGATTGTCCTACTTGCCAAGAGAGCCCTCTCTATTCGCGCCCGACATGGCTCTAACTAACTATCCAGATAGCCTGGTGTGTGCCGGGGAGCGTCGCACGATGCTGCGTTGCCATGGTTACACCTCACCGCTCGCAGCGAATCCCCTCGTTACATCCCCCACGACAGCGAGCCAGCACCGTAAAACCCGAGTCCAATACCCTTCACTTTGCCAGGGAGAGAGAGTGAAGAGGGATTCCCTGGCGGAAAACACCCAACCAGGAGGAAGAGGAAGGGAAGATCCGCTCCCCCGGGGAATTCAGTGACCCAATGTTGGTCAGATGTTTGATACAGAACGGCTCCTCCCCCGACAATCGGAGACCCGGCAGGGGGTGCTGTGTGGCAACCGGCCTCTCCCCCAATCTAGAGACGTGTGCCGGGGGGCCAGCGAGGAAGACGCAGCCCCCCGCGGCCTCGGCAGTCCGTGTTACCCGCGTGAAGCAGAAACCTGGTAACCTGTGATGTTTCCATCCACTGCATGGCGTCTTGCAGGCTGGTGAACTCGACGAATGCAATACCTCTTGACAGACCTGAACAAGGAGTCATAGGGGGAGTTAAGGGCGATTCCGTCACAAATGTAGCGTGTCACAAGTTACAGTCGAACGCTGTGGATGCTAGCGCCACCACACAACCACGCACGCGTGCACACACAGCAGGGGGCGCCGCCGATCCTGACATCCGAGCAGAGGTGAACGCAGTCACGGCTAACATACTATCGTCAGTGTCTCACGCTGCGGCGTGAGTGTCGGCGCGGCTACCTCCGTTGTCATCCTGTCTCCTAACATCAACAATAACGGCCGTTCAGTAGCATCTCACGTCTTCGCTGCGCTACGTCCGTCCTGTCTTTGTTCACACTCGTGGTACTCACCTTGGCTTACTTTCTGCCATTCCAACTCCCTCACAGCATTTCCCTCACCGACCACCTACCAACAGCTCCCATATCACAGACACAACACTATCCCCGTGAAGTTGCGGCAGTATGTGCGTTGGAGGGTTGGGGTTGTCATGACGACGCGCACGCGAGAGCGCTCACTGGCCCGACAGTCTGTCACGACGGACGTGCCACCGGCTGCTTTCACCTCTGCTCATCACGTAGGATGGCGCGCGCGCGGAGAGAAGCGACCTGGGGGGGATGGCAGGTGAATATCTTACCTCGCTTCTTCATCAGTCTCACGTCCTTCATGACAAAGCCAAGCCCAGCAAGGTCCTCCCGAATCTGTAACATCAAACCAAGATTAGTTTGGTGAGGAATAAAAGTTTCCTGGAATTTAACATGGCATATATTTTTACGTGCGAGCACCACCCAAATTTTAGAGACCTACACACTGTCGGTTCTTTTTTTATGGGGTGTGTAGGCCAAAAGGTGCCTAATGCATGTACCAGGGGAACATTTGTGTATTTGTGTGGTCCTGCGCTTGCTCACGATCGGCGATGATTCGGCAGGTTACGAGCCTGATGACTAGATTGTGACAAGCATATCCAATCAAAGACGACCTGACGCACGGATGGGAATGAAAATTTGTGTTTTCAGCTGAAAATAGCCGGGGTCCAGCGGGGGGGCGGTCCGGTCCAGGGCAAAGCCTGGTTAGGGGGTTCAGAAAGTTTTTGAATTTTCACAACTTACAAGGCATAAAATTGCATTAGGAGACACATACAGAACAGAATTGTTACAGAGCATATTACAGTACACTGCAGGGAGTATATCTTGCACTGTCATTATGATAACACCAAAATTAATAATCAATACAAAAATTTACTTACATTCTGCAAACAAAATTATTTTAATGTAATCTTCAACACTGTCCCGAAGGCTAACCTTTATATAATATAAGAATGCGGCACACATACACACACACTTGAAGCGTCAAATAAACGCACACACTGGCCAACGTCTGACAATCTCAAACAGTGAACTAAGCCGTGTCTATATTGTAAAGCAAACTATATTACAATGTTATTAAATGAAGGTACTGTTGGACTGTAAAATGAAAAGAAAAATGAAAGGAAATATGATCAAGGTCAAGGCAAAGGTCAAATAAAGGTCGCAGTGACCTGGTTTTGGTACGCTGCGCACCTTCTCCCCAAGGTGTGTAAGTATACCAAGTTTGGTAGCGCTAGGTCAATTAGGGGTCGAGTTATAGAGCGGAAGGGAAATTCTCTGCGGCGGACCGAGCGGCGGCGGCGGCTGGGGAGACATGAAACCATAGTATCCCCGCCGACTTCGTCGCGGGGGATACAATTAGTCCCTGGCTAGTGAGAATTTCGAACGATGGGGCGGGCGAGCGTGCGCGGTGTGGGGGTCGTGACCACCGGATCATCACCTGCTGCTCGGTGACGTGCGGAGGCAGCGCTCGCATCATTATCGTGCTGTTGGGAACCTCCTCGCTGGTGTCGCAGCGGCGACTGTGCCGCCCGGACGATCCACCTCCGTCGCCGTACCCGTCCTGCTGTGAGAGCTGGCTGTAGCTGTTGTAGCCGGCCGAGTCGTAGCCCTGACCCCAGCCCTGGTAGTAACCTCCAGAGTTCTGATCCATCAACCTCTCTCCATACTCCTGTTGCGTATCATCATCATCATCATCATCGTCATCATTAAAGGGACACATCAATCTAGGTTCCTTATCTATTTTCAGTTAGGCTTAAATTATGCTACTTGAAAATTTTAATTGTTCAATATTCCATAGAAATAGGTATCTTTTTTTTTTTAACTACCA